TCGCAAGTTGCGTTTGGCGTTCATCTTGGCCCGGGCTGGTATGCTGCTGGTGATGATGCTGTTGGTGCTGCTGTTGTCACGTACATGTGCTGTGTGTGTATGACAAGAGGACATCTTTGGGGGTGCGCATATGCGTGCGTGTGTTCAGCAGTTGCCAGTGTGCAGCGTGTGGTCGTTTCTCTCGTGCGTGTGTCCTCACGCCCAACATCAAACATCACAATCTTCGTATCGACGACATTTTCAGGTACGCCCAGTCGTCTGTCAATGTTGGTAAACCGACACTGTATGCAAAGATCAGCATCCACTATGCAGATGGGAGCGAGGAGAGCATTGTGTCGACACCAACGCGGTGGAAGGTCCACGATGGTCCAGTCACTCTCAGTGACATTTACGAGGGCGAAGTCTACGACAGCAGGTATACACCTCTTGTGTGTGAGTGTTTCTGTGTGTGTGTGTGTGTGTGTGTGTGTGTGTGTGTGTGTGTGTGTGTGTGTGTGTGTGTGTGTGTCTGTCCAGGTTTCGTCGCATGCTGTCCTTCCTCCAATTCGCATCGGCGAGAACTACACCCCATGCAACATGTGGGAGTCCTCTCCAGGCACCTACGTCTTTGACTTTTGCCAAAACATGGTCTGGCCCAAAACGGGGCGCGCATACATGTGCATACGTTGCTGTCGTTTACACCAGTCAGCACTCATGTCACACCAACATGTACACACATAAATGCATGCACACATGTATGTATACGTGCTTCATTCCGCGTCCTCATCATCAATCCCTTCCTGTCATGGTGGTTGCTCACAGGCTGGCTTCACGACCCTGCGTGTGCCTGAGGGCGCCGCTGTTCAGGCCGGCGTCAACATCACCCAGATCCACGCCGAAGGTCCGGGGTGGATGTGGTTGTCAGCACACGTGTTTCTGCTCTGTATGTGCGTGCGTGGTGCGCGTTTTATGTGTGCATTTGTGAGTGTGTGTGTGTGTGTGTGTTCGTGCGCGTGCGCGTGTGCGTGTGCGTGTGTGACACGCTTGCAGCAATGTTAGGACCAGTCATTTTCATGCGACAACGCCCTTCATTTCGAGGCAGGCAACCCCTCCCCCCCCCCCACAAATTTCATGCTCCCGCCGTGCTGACCTCAACCCCCCCCCCCCCGCATTTCTTCGCTGCTACACGTGATCTGCAACACAGCGGTGTATGGCCCACCACCCGCGCCAATCCACCACCACTACAGCAACACGGCAGAGAAGGCCGTGTACATCACGTCTGGTGATGGCGCCGCAATCACGTACACGCCCCTCTTCACATACATGGGTGCGTGCATGCTGGTGTTGCGACTGTGACGTGTGCCGATGGTGAATGGCGGTTTATTCGTGACGTTGTGTTGCATACTCGCACTTTCCTCAAATACACCCACGTATGCTCACACAAACGTGTCCGCATGCGTGCGTGCACATGTGCATTTGCGTACATGCAATTGCGTGCACAGGGTTCCGTTATGTGCAGCTGACCAACTTTCCCGGTGTCCCAGACTTCAACACGTTGACAGCGCACTTCATCCACACTGACTTTGAAGTGAGAACACATGCGTGTAGCTTTTTTTTTTTGTGTGTGTGTGTGTGTGTGTGGGTGTGGGTGCTGTGTTGTGTTGTGTGGGTGTGGGTGGGTGTGGTGTTTCTGCAACAGACCTACTGCAACTTGCCCACATCTCAACATCTTCGTGCTCGCGTGGGAACAGCTTGTTGGTGACATTTCGTTCTCGGACCCCAATTTGGACAGCGTGCAGCACATCACACGTGCCGCCTCCATGAGCAACTACCAGAGCATCCCAACAGGTTCGCAGTGTAAGGGCCGCTGTTGTGTGGATGAAGAGGCTTGACAAAATGTGTGTTTGTGTTGCGTGTGCACACGTGTGCGTGGGGGGGGGGGTTGATCTCCCGTCAGTGCATTCCAGGCAAGAAACCCCATTCAAGCACACAAGTGTGTACGCGTGCTGATTGTGTATGTGTGTCGATCCACGTGTTCTCTGACAGATTGTCCTCAGCGCGAACGACGTGGCTGGCTGGTACGGTGCAAACAAATCCCTCTGCTGTAACTGGTGCCTTGCGCCGTGTCTTCTGAATATTGCTGTGCATACACGTATGCGATCGTCACTCACAACAACAACAACAACAACAACAACAACAACAACAACAACAACAACAACAACAACAACACATGCAGGGTGATGCGCAGCTGAGTTCGGAGACAACGATTCACAACTTTTTCATGGCAGCGCCATATACCTCCTTCGTATCGCAAATCAACGACGCGCAGAACCCAAACACTGGAGCTGTGCAGGATTGCGTGCCATGGTGAGGCTGGGTGTGTTTGTGGGTGTTTGTTTGTGTGTGTGTGTGTGTGTGCATGAGGAGTCTGTGTATGTGTGTATGTGTGTGTGCGTGTGCGTGTGTTCACTATGTTCCCTGTTCTTTATTTTCAACACTTGCTACATTGTGTCATCCCTCACCCACTCTTCGTTGTTCCTCTTCACCCCATTGTCAGGTATGGCCACGGGCACGAGCCTGCCGACCCTGCGTGGGGCTCCGCGTACACCTTCCTCGCTGATCACGTCTACCAGTACTACGAGGATGACGAAATCGCAGCCGTGAGTATAGGCATACATGCATGGCTGAGATGGTGGTGGTGGTGGCGATGATGATGTTATTGTCTGTGAGAGCTGTGTGGCTTTGGGTAGTTCTGGTTCATTTCGAGCTGCTTGCTTGCGTTGTGTAGGTAGTTGCTCATGTCAAGCTGCTACTGTTGGGTTTGCTGCTGCAACAATCTCGCGTATGGAGAGGGTTCAGCTGGGGCTGTGATGAATCATAGAACCATGCCACTCACTGCTTTGGTGCGCTCGACCACAGCAACACTACGATGGACTGCGCTTCCACCTTGAATCTCTCATTGCACAAGCAGCGAATGACAGCATGGACGGTGAGTTGGGTATGACGATTTGTGTGCTGACACACACCGTGTACAACCGATGCACGCCGTATTTTCTCATTCATTCCAAGTGAGAGTCAGCATACGCCTTGCATATCGTCACACACGCGCGCGCACTCACATACATATATACATACATACATACATACATACATACATACATACATACATACATACATACATACATACATACATACATACATACATACATACATACATACATACATACATACATACATGCACACCATGCCAGGGCTGCTTGCGTTTTCCTGGTGGGGTGATTGGTGCCCGCCCGCTGGCTGCGTCGCCGACGGCCATCACCGCAACAGCGCCCTCGTCTCGTCGTACATGTACCTCAAACAACTTGCCATCGTCGCAAAGGTGCGCTGTACGTGTCTGTGTCTGTGTCTGTGTCTGTCTATATGCGTGCTTGTTTGCGGTTCTCTCTTCTCTCTCTCTCTGCCTCTCTCTGTCTCCCTCTCTGTCTCTCTGTGGCTGCGTGAATTCGCGCGTGCCATTTGCACTGTTCTTGCAATGCAGGCTGTCTCTCACCGAGTTTGTGTTTGCTTGCGATTGTCCGTTTAGATGGCTACGCGCCTTGGCAAGACGAAAGATGCACAGCGATACAGCAACCTTGCGTCGAGTGTTGGCGCTGCCTTCAACAACCACTTTTACGACGCCACGAACAAGGCACAACACTTGCTTTCGCATAATGTTCATAAGCACGCACACATGTACACACGCACGCACGCACAATTCCACATTCGCATACACACACATCGCGTCTCATCCTCGCATCGAGCACATAACAACGCCAATCAGCACACGTTTGTCTGCGGTGTGTTTGTTGCTCACAGCTGCGATCACACACACACACACACACACACACACACACACACCCGCCCTGCTTGTTGTTCTGATGCTGCATTGTTTGTTCATTCAGATCTACAATGAGACGAGGCGGCCTGCTGGTGCGGAGGAGCTGAGCATCCAGACGTGCATCGCCCTCGCAGACGATCTCGGGCTCATCCCGGACGAGGACCGCGATCAGGTGCATGTGTAGGCGCATACATACACTCATGCGTGGGCACATACATGCACACATACACATATGTGTACGGGCACATACATGCACACACATATACACATGTGTACGGGCACATACATGCACACATACACATACACATTCACGCACATCACATACACGCACACACACATTCACACACACACACATACACGCACACACAAACTCACTGACACACATTTGCGCGTGTGGGATTCACAACACATGACACATGTAACCTCCTCTTCTCTTCTACTTCCTCTCATTGCTTTCCGTTCCTCCTGTCCTAACCTCCTCGTGCTTTTGGTTGTCAGATCATGCGCAACTTGGTTGCGGATGTGATGGTTGCCAACAACGGCCACCTCAACACAGGCATTGTTGGCATTAAGCAGCTTCTTCCCACACTCTCTAACGCAGGATACAACGACGTCGCCTTGCAGATTGCACAAACGCCATCCCAGCCGGTGTGTGTGTGTGTGTGTGTGTGTGTGTGTGTGTGTGTGTGTGTGTGTGTGTGTGACTCTGTGTGTGTGACTCTGTGTGTGTGTTGAACTGTTCCGATCATTCTCACCATCGCTCTGTGCCTTGCCATCATGCTTCTCCCCACCAGGGCTGGGTGTACATGGTGCAGCAAGGTGCGACGACCCTGTGGGAAACCTGGACGGGCTCACGATATGACCCCGTTGCGTCATGGAATCACGTCAGTGAAGAACACATGTGGCAACAGCGATACTTGTGCATAAACCACGCAACACACACGCGTTGTGATCCGTCTCTTCTCACATGCACACCTTGTGTCTCAATGCCGTCATGTGTGTTGCTCGTTTGATGCAGATTATGTTTGGCTCCCAGTCTGCGGTACGTGAGCTCACAACGTGCCATCACAAGCATGGGCGTGGCTTGTTAGCGTGTGTGCCGCCCTCACATTGCGTTTTGCGAGACTGTGTTGCCCTGTCGTTA